TCAATGAGCAAACAAGAAAACTCTCAGCTTTCTCAAGGTTGATGTGAAAAGAGTTTCAGGGTGTTGGGGAGAGTGGACGAGGCTACAGGGCAAGGAGGAATAGAATGTGACGAGGACAGCGAGAGACAGAGAGACAGAAAGACAGAGAGGGAGAGACTGCATTTAATCTCACAGTCTTTTATTTTTAATACCCGCAGGTTCTTTTGTTCTCCCTTTGATCTTTTCCTGCCTAGATTTATTGCGATACACCAACAAAGCACAGAATCACCAAAATAAAATAATCAACGTAAAGTATGACTTGACAGCTAATTCCACATCAGAACAACAGCTGTGGGGTGATGAGAGAGGGACGGAGAGAGAAAAGTCGAGCACAATGTCACAAACATACTGCTGAGGGGCTCCTATACAGAATATGACTAGCTCCTTCTTGCTTCTCTTTGAATACCCCGCATAAGCTATCAGCTTGTTTTAGTTAGCTCATAAAGTAGGAATTAGGGGTTAGGCAGGGTGCCGTTGTCCTCTGAAATCCACAACAGAGCCTGTGACGTTCGGAACAAGAACCAACACACAAATCCAGGATCAAACTGGATCCAAACAAACAAACACCATGAGGGACCGCTATAAAGCCCCTGATGTGAAACTCATTCATTCGGTAACTAATTGTCATTCTGTGTGGCATGACAAGTGATGACAGTCTATAAAAACCCAGATGCACATTTGATACAGTCAGGTAGGCAGGTAGGACTGTCAATTGATTCAAAAGTTTTTACCATTTTATTTATTTATTTAGATTTATAATTAATTGCACTAATTTAACAAGTTTAATTAGCATCCCTACACAAAAAAAAGTGCTATCAATAGTGTCTCCAACACAAATACTGAGAAGCAACAGAAGCGTACAGCAATGAACAGAAGAGCTTGCTGCAGTAGATGATGTTGCAGGACAGGCCGTCTTTACTGAAGGCCTGTGTAGACGCAGATGTGCCTCTGTAGACGCAGATGTGCCCCTGCAGGGGTGTGAAGACATAGAGGGGCGGAGAGTGATGGAACATTCGATCTACTGCCCTACTGCTCGCAGCTGGACCATACGCTTGAGAGCCACCAGTGAGCCAAAGAGCCCAGCTCAGTTTTCATTTTCACCTAAGAGGGGCCATTACTGAGACGTCGAACACATCATGTTTATAAAAATTTGTGGCCAGATCAATTATAATCAAAGCACGTGATACTAAAAATATTCCTCTCTTCATCAATTCATGTCATTTACAACTATTTTGACTGATTAAGTGCAATTTTCCACTGAAATGTCCACTGGCTGAAATGTCACACCTAACAACTAACTGCAAATTACTTGAAGGGAAAAATGGAAATTCTGTCATTATTTACTCATCCTCATGTCAAACCTCTATGCATTGTTTTATCTGTGGAACAGAAAAATATATTTTGTTGGTAATCAAACAGTTTCGGTTCCCATTGACTTCCACTGAATTTTTTTGTCCATATACTGGAAGTCAATGGGAACTAAAACTGTTTGGTCACCAACATTCTTCAAAATATCTTCTATTATGTTCCACAGAAAAAGAACAAAAAATAGAAAGTCACATAGGTTTGGATTGATATGAGGGTTAGGAAATAATGACAGATTTGTAATTTTTGGGTGGATTATCCTTTAATTACAATTCAAAGGGAACAGAATTTATGTGTGTGCATGCAGTTTGTATATTTTTGAGTGAGGTAATTATTTTAGCATTAAAGTTAATTGAGTATTTCTGGCTAAATGTAAATTTACAGATGATTAAGAATGTTGAAATTTTTATTCTTCTTCTTCAGGGTGATCTTAATGAAACTGCTAATATCTAAGAAATAATCTAAGATCTTTAAAGAAATTAGAAATTGAAAATTGGCTGCATAAAGTTATTAGGAAATGTGCTGCTATTGAAATTCTGGCTAATACTAATTACTTATTGTTTTTAATTATTTATGATACTGTGTCATATTTTCCACAAACCAATTTATGTTATTACATTTCTATACTATTTTGTATAGAAAAAACAATAAGTAAAAAATAAAACACAACAAATTTAAATTGTAACATGCAATACAAAAATAGGTATTCAATTTGAGATTTGCTAAGTGCATTACATTTAATTAACTACTAGAAACAAGCACAACCAATTAAGAATCCAATATTATTAAATAAATAAATAGCAGCAATGGTACCATGAATCCCTAAAAGATACAAAAAATATATAGTATATACAAACAAAAGTACTTCATGAATGCTTTAAGTACAGTATTAATGTTGTCTTAATGACAATCCTGAGCTGTTAGCATATCCTCATATCCCACAGAGCAGAGACTTGTGTGGAGCATTAAGAGTCAAATCTGCTCTCGTGTGACATTAGGAGCATGCGGCATCCACAAACACCAAATGGAGTTGGAGAGAAAGGTTGGACTGTTCATTCAGACAGAAAATAGCTCTCTTAAAAAGTTGAAAAGTAGTATTTCGCTTCCTCTCCGCACAACTGTTAACATGGGCCATGATGACTATGTGAGTGAGCAGGAGAGAGGAGCGTAATTTGGCAGTGCCCTTTGAGTGCTGTTACATATGGCCCCTGCACACTGTTAGTCTCCCGTGGCAACACTTCCCACAGATGCATCTGCAGTCAGTGAGCCGCTATCACCTTAAGTAGCTGAGTGGCATCAATCTGACGGACACCAACTCTCTGCTTCTCCACAGCCACTGCGCCTGTCAGTCTGTCTATCTGTCCTCCCTCCATCCAGCTCTCTACACCTACCCATAATTCTTGCTCACTGTCACTGTCACCGCACGTCCCCGAGGGACTGCAGGCCACTCCATCCCGGGCTGTGAGCGCTCTGGGATCTGTTGTCAGTGGCTAAGTGCTGTGGCAAAAACAGTTGAACGGAGGGAGAAAAAAAGAGGCTGCAATCTCTCCAGCGGGTTTGACTTCCTCTTTCACACGGGCTGGCTGTGATCAATGACATCGAGTTGAAATCCATTTCGGTGCAATCAATGCGGCACCGGCAGCGGCTCACGCAGAGGACGACTTGCAGGTCTGACACTGCCTTTTTCAAAGATGACCCATCCGCGGCTTTGCTCCGGATCCGCGGCAGCCTGATCATTATGGCACCACTGCATTTCTACAGAACTCGCTCTCTCTTCCTGTTACTGCTTCCTTTTCTAGCCAGCCTCAGGTGAAGCGGCTGACTTCTCTTATTAGCATCATCAAAGACATTCAAAAAGGGATGTAAAACACAAAGATTAAACAAGGGGTACCGCATCTGAACCAATTAGGCAAGTCTGAGCTAGTAAGCCAGTCACCTTCAATTTGGATCCGCACCGATCAAAGGTCTCCTGCTATTTTAGCATGCATTTGCAGTTTGGCACTGTGCCGAACATCCCTGCACAGAGTCAGCAACAAGTCTACAGCCTGAGGCATGAAGTGGGTCGACCGACGTAAGATATAAGACGGCGGATCAGTGGCATCAGGCTGGGGAACATCTGCTGGGAATTGGTGACACATTTGAAGCAGCAGGGGGCGGAATTGGAGGTACTTCCTGAAACTGAAGTAACCGCTCTGAGATCAGGTTGCATTGCTCTCCAGCAGCATGCGTAAACGCAGAGCAGAAGGATTAGCTACTGGTGACATGGCCTGCAACAGAATACACTGTCCTGCTTTTATGTTTCACACCTTAACTGTACAACACACTCCATGTAGAAGCAGAGATATCCATGTCCAAAAACATCTAATCAAAATATATTCACCTTTACATTTTCTCTGCACATACCCTAAAATAGGAGCGAAATTAAGTCATGTTAGTCTCTAAGTAGGTGTGAGAATGTGAAGTGAATTGTGATCTAATTTCAGAAAGATTTCTGATACATCTAAATTAGTTCATATGCTGCTGTGCAAAGGCCATCTTTTTTGTTGTTGTTGTCGGTGTAGTTACAGTATGTTGCCTTTTTAGGGCACAACTATCATAAAAAATTAAGCACACTGATTTTATTGTTCCTTTAATTTCATTTTAGTAACATGTTAAGTGGCCCTTTACATTTAGAACAAACTATGAGTTATGAACAAAACACAGAATATTTATCAAATTAAATAATGTTCTTCTTTTTAAACATTGCACAACATCTCCACCTTTATGAGATTCATACATTTATAATCTTGTATTCTGTAACTGTAGTATGCCTAGTTAGCATATTCATGACTAAAGTCTATATCATCACACTTTGTCTCTAGTGCACACATTAGTGCCACCTAAAACAAACCCTAATCATCAAATTTTTTGATTGGTTTTTAGTAAAGTTTAACCGAACAGTGGGTAATTTAGTGCTAAACATTTTTTATGTTTGACAATTAAAGGCAAAATATTGTACAGTTTGTTATATTTACACTATCATTCAAAGTTTTATGGTCTGAAAGATTTAAAAAAATATTATTTTAAAATAAAAAAAGCTCTCCAAAAAAAGCTCACCAAGGTGATGCTGTATTTATTTGATCAAAAATACAGTAAAAATTGTATATAATATTATAACAATAATATTACCATTTTAGTATCTGTTTTCCATTTATGAGTTATTATATTTTGTATTGAATTTTGAGAAGCCATTATTCAGTGTCACATTATTCTTGAGAAATCATTCTCTTATTATTATCCTCCATTTCTTATTATCAATGTTGAAACCCGTTAAAGAAAGATTTTTTTTATAGGATTCTCTGATAGAAAGTTCCAAAGAGCAGCATTTATTTAAAATAAAAAATCTTTTGTAACATTATAAATGTCTTTACTGTCAATCGTGATCAATCGAATGCATCCTTAATATATAAAAGTATACATTTTTGTCAAAATAAATAAATACATACTGAATATATGATCATTTAGGGCTGAACCCTATATATTTGCCAATTATGTGCTGCAAATGTGCGGTATATATGAGCATGTCTATACTTTGTGGTATATTTCTGTATTTTTACCTCGTTGTCTGGTGAACTCATCTGCTTCATGATGCACCAGGTCAGTCACACATCCCCCATAATGCAGGCGTGACTCATGATCAAAAGCCTTCAGGGTCTCGCTGGAGCTGTAGGATTTCTGGGTGGGTACGCGGCATTCGTCGCTGTCCAAGGAGGAGGTGGTGAACTGGAAATCTTTCCCGCAGCGGCCGTGGGTCAGTGTACGGTGCCGGCGCTCTTTCAGATCCATGACAGCTGCTGCAGCCCGATGATCCGATCAGTCCGCGAGGTGGAGGTTTCAACAGCTGGACAGTCCTTCACCTGGTAATAGAAGACAACACCAATCAATAGAGTACAAAATATATATTCCCTGCTGAAACGACCAGCATGGATTGCTGGTTTAAGCTGGTTAGTGCTGGTTTGGTGCTATTGGACAAATAGAGCCATTGCCAACATAGCAAATCTTATCCACAGAAGCTTTCTATAGAATCCTACTAACTAAGGACATTTTAACAGCACCACAGCATCCAAAATATAGACACGAACAGAATCAGAAAGCTTTGCAGAATTGTAAAGAATTACAACATAAATTATTTACACTCCGTTAGGTTATACACTCTGCACGTGTTCGCTTATGAAACATTTTCACTAATTTGATTATGCTTTCAGCCACCAAAAAGAATGTGGTACTCAGCAATATGTAACACATTTGACCATGTTTTAGCAATCCACAGTTCACCATTGATTTTGTTTAAAGATGAGTACAGAAAAGGGACTGCGAAAGTTTCATTCTATATATTAAAAAGAAAACAAAGCATATCATTCTGTTAATATGCCAAAAGGCTCAATTCTGTCTGTGAACTACATAAAAAAAATATGAAATGGAAACTTTGGCTGCATGGTGCATTCATAAACAAAACAGTGGAGAGACATCTAAACAAAAAGAAGCAGCTGTCATTACAGCCATAATCACAGATGAAATAGTGGAGCTGAGACGTGTGGAGGAGTGAAGTCATGATGCCGGTGAAGAATGAGTGATAGAGTGAAAGCGAGGAGAAGAGGGAGGAGAAAGGAAATGACTTGAGGGCATTGCGAGTCTCTCCCTCATTATCGCAGACAGAGTGAGAAAAGCTCCCTCTGTGGCCGAGAGAGGATAATCACAGATGCCTGGATGTGCTGCGGAGAACAGGGAGCCAAACACAGCCCGGCCCGATCATATCACACGCTCACACACACACACACACAAAAACACCAGCACTAATGTATTTTAAATCCTATGCATACTAGCTGATATCCCAGTACCACCATAAGTTTTTTGTTTTTTTTCTGAAGGTGCTTTTAATGTTAAAATACAATGCTAAATGAAACTACTTTAATTGTATTTTGGAGGTTTTAATACAAATGTGAATTAATATTATTGTTAATATTATTATAACTCGATGAAACACACAGTATTATGTGATTAACTGTGATTTAATCATAAAAAAAACACAATTAAAAAAATTTGGTTAGTATTTTTTTTTTTTGATTAACCATTTTTTATGTGTTTTTTATGTGATTAATCACATTAGCTGTGACTAATTTAATCATTACCATAAGCACATTGCCATTCAAAAGTTTGGGGTAAGAAATTAATTTTTTAGTGAGCAAGGACGCATAAAAAAAATTGCTTACAAGTGACACTAAGGACATTTATTATGTTACAAAAGATTTATATTTCAATTAAATGTTGTTCTTTAGAACTTTCTATTCATCAAATAATCCTAAAACCTGTATGACACATACACACACAAAATCAAAAATGATAAGATTAAGTCTTTCTTGATCACAAAATCAGAATGATTTCTGTAAGATCATGTGACTGAAAAATTCAGCAATCAGAGGAATAACCACATTTAAAAATATATTCAACTAGAATACTGTTATTTTCAATCATAATGTTACTGTTTTATTGCATTTTCAATCAAATAAATGTAGCCTTGGTGAGAAAAAAAATGTATCCGTAAAATTAAACCATTACATAAATGTAGAATCAACAAAAAATACTACTACTAATAACAATAATAAGCTGCTCCAGTTGCTCATAGGACATGTGTGGACAATTATTGTTTGGGTCATAAACAGGAAAGTGGAGAGAGTGTCTGAAAGAGGGGTGCGTAATAAGCATAAACAAAGCACAAAAAAGAATGCTGAATTAATACAGACCATGTAATCTCAAAAACTAAATATGTAAATTTTCTCTGCACAGTTTTTCATTATTATTATTATTTTTTAATTCACCTGTCACTGTGCAACTCTTCAGAGCATGTGCACTACCCACAAAGGCAATGTTTCTGACAAAAAATGCCATTCTAACTTCAGACATGATTCCACGGTTTTATCATGAAAGCGAGTTGACAGTAATTAGACACTAATTAAAAGTAAATTCACCCACACTAGTCCAGCTGCAGGCAGCCTTCCTCCACAAACTCTCACAGTTATTATACCTGAGCTGTCTTGAGTACATAGAACGTCAGGGGGAACTTTAGCTGGCCCCTCTGTGCCTGTCTGTTACTATGTGCGGTCAGAACAAACGCTGCCTGCTCCTGTCCCCCTCAACAAGCGTTCTCCACGCTGTTCCACCTGCATTAGCTTGATTGGAGGAGAAGTCCACTGCCCCAGGGACAGTCCTGCATTCGGAGAGGATGATTTTCCTGCACGGCAACAGATCATTACATAACAACACGGCCACTAGCTGTCCCGCACATACTGAAAATAATTTAATATAATCAGGTCACCTAACATGATAATTATTTACTGTGAAACACTTGCATAAAAGAACAAGAGAGACAAAGCGTGCGACACTGGCTTAATGCGGATTCATTAAAGGCGACTATAAGGTCATTTTAAGATTTGCCTCCAGTGTCTGTTGATTAGAAGCAGATATTTTATATTGAGAAAGGCCTCATTATAGGCTAAAATAAAACATTCAATCACAGAGGCCATTAACGGTTCAGAATGGGAGTGCTTACTACGGCGAATATAAAACGGGCAGAGCTTCAGATTGTGGAACGCAGGAAAAGTCTTTGCTTACAAATGAATGCCCAATTACCGTATATGTATATTCAAATATTAAACAGTCCACTTCAAGTCAAACATTTATTCTATTCATTGCATCTGACCTTTCTTCACTCTACCAGGCCTGCACTGGAAAGCTTTGTTGTGATGTCTGGAGTGGGTTATTTGGTCAGCCATTGGGCTGCAGGGGCCTTTCAGAACACTGATTTCAGGTGCAGTGACATGTGGGTTTCTGCGAGAGCGTCACATGCATGGGTGTGTGGGATGGAGGAAGGGCTGGCTAAAGGAGTGCCCTGGGGCTGCTCTAACACCACAGTGGTGAGATGATGCACGATGGTGTGGAGGAGAACCGGGTCAATATGAGCCCAGGCTGCAGCACAACCAGGTCAGTCTTTCCATTCATTACAGGCAGTGGATGAGAAGTGAGGCCTCAGGGATCAGAGTAGATCCTGCCTCCCTCTCCTCAGGCTCAGCCCACTGATACCCCCCGTTCACAGGACAGCCATCCTCTCCAGAGAGAGTGATGGGGGATATGATGAAAAAAGAGCCATGGAAGGAAGAGGAACAACAGGATGGTGGAAGAATCTAGGACAAGTTATCTTTCTTTCTTTCGTTCCATCCATTCATCTTATCTATCTATCTATCT